TGGAGGAGTGGCAAGGGGGGGGGGGCGTTGCTATATGACCCAGGGGCTATGCAGCCCCTGGATGCTCAGAAGTTGGATAGCCCTGCCATAGAACAAGAATTTGGGGCCAGTAATCCAATTGTAAAAGTGAAGCTATGACTAATCATCTGATTACTCCAATTTTACAGTGGTATAGAGTCACTGATGCTGGTTAAGTTGCACAGGCATAAAACTGGAGTTAATGTAGTGATGAAGCTGACTTTACTGCTGCACTGTTACCTCAGTATCACAATAAAAACAGCTTGTCCTATAAATATTTCACTGAATTGCCAGCGTATCAGAGTTATGATCCTTGTGGTGCAGTTGGGATTCATGTGATCTTCTGTGTGATCTAGTCACTTTTACAGTAACGTGTACATCTCCACTATTTGATCTGATTAGCAGTTGAATCTAAAGAGGTTGTTCAATTATTTATATTTAATTGCAGAATAAAATTATAACTTTTAACAAAGCAACAAAGGCATGTGCTAAACTGTCAAGCAGTCTCTCATTTGTAATTGTGTTCTTGCCAGCTCATTTCTTTGTCAAGATTTGCCTAATCCAACAGCACATCTTTATGGGCTGGCAACCTGACTCTTTCCAGCCACAAATTTCAGTAGGATTTCACTCTTTAAAATGTTAAACAAGGCTGATGTGTGCTCTCCAGAATCTCTGACACGCAGATCTTGGAACTAAAAAGCCTATGATAAGTGGACACCTTTACAGTGGAGTTCAGAACAATCCAGTTGCTTACCTTTGTAGGATGTATCTGTATTGGGATTGTTAAAATACAAGTATAAGTTCCTGCTCAGTGGATAAGGCCAGTGAATGGGATTTTATTCAGTTTGAATGTTTAAATGACTGGTCAGGGTCCTCAAAGTTTGGGCGAGTTTCTTTAATTTATTTATGAATTAAAAGGTAATAAGTAGGCAAGCCAAACACAGGATTGTAAATGGTTCAAGTAGCTGGAATGTTTCCCAGAAATACGAGTCTCTGAACTTGTCACAGACTATTAAGAAAGCTGTGCCAGTATAAATATGGCCCCACTACATGGAGTTGGGGTTAGTGAACAAGAAACCAATGGCAGTGGTCAAAATGAAGTTTGATCAGGGTGCTGAGAGAGGAAGGTGATCTTTGAGTAGTGATCAAGGGGGATAATAAATGCTGTGGGTTGTGGGGGCGGGGGTGGAATTCATACCCGAATGATTGACATTTTTTTTCTCAATTTAGCTGAGAATGCATTACTATTTTAAAGGCAGGTGCTAGTGTTCGTGTGGTGAACCAGTTATTAACAGAGATGGATGGCCTGGAAAATCGTCAACAGGTTTTCATTATGGCTGCCACCAACAGGCCAGGTAAGAACCCAAAAACCAGTGAAATCTTCCTTTACTTAGACTCATGCTTAGGAATGTATTTTAAAAACAACCATCTATACTTTATGTTACTAAGGAATCTCAGTATAACTGAGAGATCTTTTAAAATCCAGCTCTTCATTCAGGTTTACATGACCTTTTATTTTTCTCTCATCTTGGACGATGAAACAGTTCTAGCATAATAATACAGTGTTTGCAAATACTGTAGGGAATGTTTAAATTCAAATAAACTGTTTCGTAAAGAAGACAAAATGTCTTTTCTCTGGCAAGGCTACTTAAAAGTTACCTTTATTTACATGATCTGGTTTGATGCTAAAACTATTTAACTACAACTTGTTAAGCAAATATGATGTGTTGTTTCTGTTCTTTTGCATCTTCAGTATTCAAGTAAGTCCAGATGACAGTTGGGCAAAATTTCTGTATATTCAAAGTATATAGTCACTTCAGAGTAAGGCTCTGGCATACATCAAGCATGAGAAACTGGAATACACTTTATGTAATTGACAGGGTGTGAAGTGAAGTAACTTGAGATCAGCTGGGAGCTGATCCACGTAAGTCCATGAAAAGATTCTATTGACTTCACTGGTTTTGGATTAAACCCTTGGAATTTCAAAATAAAGCTAAAAATGAGGTGTTGCGTGTTCATTTTTAGTTGCTTTGCTTGCTGTTCATCGGTGTAGTTTTAGCTGCTAGATCATTAGCAAAAAAGTTAATGATTTGTATTGGACTTCTCATACTCCTTTCTCTAACACCTCTCTGGTTCCTTAAACTCTTCTGTTGAACCCCAAACACATTTTGCTGTTCCAGTGCAAGCTTGTCTTGTCAAGCCTTGTGCCTGACTCCCATGTTTCAGCTTGCTAGACTCCTACATTCTTGGGGTTCTTTCACAAATGCATCACACCAGTTCTCAGGTAATACACATGGTACTGAGCCCTTTTTGAAAACATCATGCACCTTGCAACCCCATAGGTTCCTCCATTGTTTGTCATTTGTAGAAATATTTTCATTGTAGAGTTCTGGGCCCTCATATAGCAGGTGCTATACCCAGAGTAAAAGGCAGTCCTTGTCCTGGGAAACTTGTGCTCTAGAATCTGATAGACAAGAATAGGAGTAAGGGGTTGTAAAACAAGCAGAGGGAACAGGGTAAAGGTCTGCAAATGTCACATTAGTTGCATGTATTTGGGCGGGTGGGGGGTTAGTTTTTGGGAGTGAGTAAAATGATTTTGGTGTGGTTCATTGGGAATATCCAGAGGAATAGAAACAAAGGAAGGGAAAAAGATATTGAAGGGACAGGTTAAGTTAGGTAGGAGAAGGGGATCAGGAGGGGCAAGTTGAGTGAGAGGATAATGCGGGTGGGAAATGGTGTGACCAACCAGTCAATACAAAGAAAAGAATGTCCAAATTCAAACCTGAAAAAATAGCCTGATTTCAGCATCCAAAAGCCCCTACTGCACTTGCTTGCCTCTGCTCCTACTTGACAGGGTTCCAGCAGCCCCTTTCCTGAGCTTATGTGGCTGGTGAGGAAGAATGGGAGTATAGAGTTCACAGGTGAACAGGGTGGGGTTTTTCCATGGATGATCATGAGTTTGGGGGTACTTGAGGGAAGGATGATTTCAGTGGCAATTAGCTACTCCTACACCTTTTTGTAGGGCTGTACAATTACAGCTCTAAACCTAATGGTCATCTTTTTATGCTGTTCTACCAGGTTTGGAATGGGAGCTTTTTAGGCAGCAAAACAAGCAAACATTTGCCCCGCCCCACCACATGCTCCTACCAACTTAATGTGGAACTTGGTGCAACTTTCAAAGCACATTTCAATTTAATTTTTAACAGAAGGCTTCTAAGTAATCGGGTAAATTGGGAATATCATCTGAAACTTGACTGGCTCATCACTTGTCCTATACATACAGCCTCTGCCCTTAGGATTGTGCTTCCTTCTTGTATTACCACATTTGACCATTTTGTTGCATATGCTTGTGCTCATTTATTGTACTTTGTGAGGTCTTTCATTGTACATGTGGCTTCAAGCAGCAGGCATTGCAGCAAGTGTTGCATAGTCTGAGGCTCTGGACTGCCGTTGCAGGCAGTTGAACCAATGGCATAGGCCCACTTAGGATTGTTCCCAGGAGGCAGCATGCTGCTTGGCATAGGTTCAGGACAGTACCACATATGCCTAACAGGGCATAAATAGTATTGGGGATCCAATTTGAAATAAAGTGTATAATTTGGATCCAATGGGCCTTCCCCTTCTGCCAAATGCTTTTGAGGTTGTTAAGGGGTATAAGTGCTTCTGCTTGAGAGAGCACTGTTTTATTGCGTATCTGCTCTACTTTGATGCCTTGGCACCAGATTGTATTTAGGTTCCTGAGTGCTTTTTGCTTCCTTCATTGTTCTTCTGCAAAATAGGAGTGATAGAACAGTTTTTTGTGTCTGCTTGTAACATGTCCACTAGCTGTGGAGCACTGTTCTGTATTTGAAACTCTATGAAAACAAGCCAGTTTGCACATTCCATGAAGCAGTCTTCAAATAAACATCATGTGCTTCACACTAAGAGTATTGTCTTAGTTTTAGAATGTACTTCTGTTTGCAGCTGTAACTTAAAAAATGTATTGGGGAGCACAGGAATGTTGCATTAATTTCTGATCTCATGGAGACTTTTAAAAATGCATAGAGAAGGAGTGTCAAAGATAAGGTCCATAGGCTGTATTTGACCCATGAAGTCCCAACATACAACCCCCAGTGCTTCATTGTGTACAGGTGAGAGTCCCAGACCAGCCTGAGCGAGCACTCTACACACTGTGTGTTCCTGGACCAGCCCCACATGGGCACCATGTATGGTGCTGTCCCAAATCGGTTGCATAAGTGCGGTGGATACAGGGGAAAGGAAAGTGAGTCCACAGACCCAATCCAACTCAGGGGGCTAGCAATATGCCATTCATTCGGCTCTTTGGGGCCAGATGGGTTTGACACTCCTGGCATAGAGGCCCACAGAAGGTCTTGAATATGCACTGAAGACTATTGGAGTTCTTGAACATTGATCCCTTATTCCTTTTATAATCCATATGTAGAAAATCCAGAATAAGCTCTGAGAACTTTAATTTCATATATGAAGGTAATTAAACATGAGTGATCATAATATAATTAAATATATGACTTGATCGTAAAGGACATCTGCATGTGGGTACTGATAAACATGTGCACAAGGGTGTCCAGAGACTTTGGTAATAGACATCTTTCTAAGTGTAACAGACAGGATGGGGAAGAGGGGCAGTCAGAGAGAGAGGATATCTTGGCAATGTTTACAGATGCATATCAATGTAGGTGCAGTATACTGGAATGGACTTTAGTGTCCAGAAAAATGGACACTTACTGACTAATGAATTCCTGGAAAAGCTGAGCTCAAGTTTCATGGCTCACTAAAGCAAGAATAAGCAGGGGGGGAGGGGGTGAATCAGGGGAAGAGGCTTTGGAGGTGGGGAGGGAAATAGGCAAGGTGGGGTGGGGAACCATGGCTACAGGGCAGGGAATTGGCAGGGGGAGAAAGGGCGGGGTCCCAAGGCTATGGGGGGTAGGTGGGAGGCACAAGGAGGGGGCCAGTGTGGGGGTGGGACAGAGAGCAAGCTGCCTGCCACCCCCCACTGCCTGCAGTGGTAGGGGGGCATACATTTTAATACAATCATCCAATAATTAGATTGTATATGTAGAAAATTATAACAAATTTATAACCTATCCATGGATAGAATCTAATTATTGGGGGGTCACCTTAAATTCAGAGTCATCTTGGATTTGTGTTATATACTGGCATCCATGCTTTTCCAATTAAGGGTGACAGATGGGAGGTGAGGAGGAATTTGCTGCTTTAACCAATAAGGTTTTATGTGGTAAAAGCACCTGGTGTAGCTAAATATCTAGGATTCGGGAATGTCCATATTTTATAAATGTTTAATCATGTAATGTTAATTGCTAGTTAACATAAAATGAAAAAAGGCTAGTCAAAATCCCAAGGTATGTAAATGAGAATAATGATCAAACTGAGGGTTTGGTAACTGTTCTGAGGACTTGACTTGATACAGTTGAAAATGGGTATTTTTGTCAGGTTCAGATAAACCATAGGAGGAACCTAGGGTTTACCTTGGCCACTTACTGTATTTACCCAAGTCCAAGACAACTTGGAATCTGATCTCTACCACATAAGATACTCCACCACATAATTAAATTCTATACATGGAAAATTATTTATTTATCATGGTTGTTATATTTATCATAATTTTCCTTGTATAGAATCTAATTATTGGAGGGTCATCTTAAGTTAGTTCCCCTCCCTCCACTAACACTATGACAGGGAAAGCAGACCCCTGAACTCCTTACCCCACCAATCCATCTGCCAACTCCAGTTGCTCCCATGGACCTGCCCTCTAGCCAGGGCCACGGAGCGCATCATGGATCAAGCCTAGCCAGACACCAGCAGTGGCAGTGGGGCAGGTGGCAGCTGTGGCTTCTCTGTTGCTGTGTAGCCTTCCTTGTGGTTCCCCTGCCACACACCTCCTGCCTGCACTCCCCCTGAACCATGCACTGGTCAATCTCCCCTGTGTTCCCCCTGCTCCACAAGCCACCCCAGGCTGCAGCCACCACCTGTCCCTGGGCCATACTGGAATTTAAGACCAGGAGGTTTATTTTCCTATGTTGAAAGGAGGAAAAAATCCTCATCTTCGATCCAAGTAGGTACAGTAAAAAATGTTTTGATAAAAGTGTATGACTACCTTGTCTTGTCTACACAGGAATATGCAACTTCAAGTGTGTTTTTTTTTTTTTTTTTTTTTCCTCCTATGGTACTCTGGGCCTGAAAGGTTAGCCACATGTGGTGGTGTAACTCAGAAGCATTGGTTTATTTCTAAGTTACTTATCTCCCATATTATTGATCTGTTTCTACCATTTTAGAAGTATTTATTGAGTAGGGAGGATGTGCTCACTTTCAGCTAAGT